CCTTAACATCTACCTTCTGCTGCTGTGAGTGCAAGATACCGGGATAGATGGACCTGCAGTCTGACCCACGGGGGCATCTCTTACGTGATTATGTTCTTAAGCAGAAGAGCAATGCAGAATGCGCTGTGAAGCTCTTCCCTCTTAGTTCTGGGGGCTCTCATTTAGACTGCTTCATCATTACAGTTTCAGGGATGTTATAACTATAGTTGCAATCCAGCCTGGTGGAAAGGGCCAGTATTAGGCCCAGTCAACACCAAGGTCCCACTTAAACCTTCCAAATATAATGCATGGGAACCTTAGGGTTTGTGCTATATTCAGGGTTCGAATTACACTTCAACTCTTGGGGGAATCTGCAAAATAAATTGGCCAGGGTCAGGGCTGTGTGCACTGGTCCCCCTCCCCACCAGTGCCACAGGGCTGGGACCAGCAGCAGTGGCAGCTGGAAGGAGCTGCCACCGCCACCGCCTGGGCTGCTTAGAAAGGCACAGAGCAGCCTGGGGCTGTGCACAGGGCTCATGGGCTCCAGGCTGTTGCAGGGGGAAGGGGTGCTCATCTCTTATGGTGGGGCTCAGCCCCCTTGAGCTCCCCCGTAATTTGAACCCTGGCGATATTTATAAGGGTGAATTTGGCCCTCATGGGCCAAATAAACAATGTAAACAGGTGCAGCTCTATTGACTTCAGTGGAGCTAGGTTGACATGTATTAGATAAAGGGATTTAAAGAGTTCAGCTTGTTTAGCCTAGCAGAAGGAAGACACAGCTTGTTGTCTATAAAAACCTCAGTGGGGTAAAACACCAAAGGGGGGCAGGGGCTATTAAGATATGAGCCAATACTGAAACAAAAACAAATGGGTATGAAGGGGCACTTTTATACATGCTCCAGAGGTGGGAGGGGGGCAGCGTGTTAATTAAAGAGGCTCTGAAATCCGCTTTAATTAAAGCGCCGCTGCATCACGTATATCAGTATCCTCACACTTAAAAATGGGAGTGGGGGCAATTTAACTAAAGCTCGTTCTAGAAGCTTTAGTTCAAGCGCCCCTGCCACTATTTTTAAGTGCAGGGATGCTGATACACAAGATGCAGGAGGCTGCTGGAGCACAGTAATTGCCACCCTCCAGCAGATTCGATTAACCGAGCCTGCTCCCACACGCTGGATTTCCTGTGCTTATGTACAGGTGTCCAAGGTTTCTAACCACCTGGAACTGTTTTCCAATAGAAGTAGTGGAAGCAGAGTACTGAACCACTTACAAGATAGAGCTAGATCATTTTATGAGAGGAGATAACCATGGAGTGGACCTGATGACCCAGGAACTCCCATCAGTTCTGTGGTCTTAGGATCTGGGATGTAGTTCAAATCATTAGTATGAGGTTTGACCATACATGGAGTGGGAAATGAAGAGGGACCTAAAAGCAATGGCTGATTTTAGCATTTTTGTACTGATCAGCAGGGATCCTGTTTTTCCCTGATAAAAAAACATTGCAAATTCTCTGAAAAAAAAACCCCAAATCCATGATTAAAATGAAGGCCCCCTCCCCCCACAAAGCTGCCCTGGCCCTGCTGGTCTCCCCCACCCCCCAGGAGTGAATGCAGCAGCAGGGAGCCGGCCCCCCACCCCTCAGACGAGCCACCCACAGCTCCGTCCGGCTCCCTGCCAGGGCCCTGCAGCTGCTCAATCCAGCCTCAGGCCCCAAGCCCCAGGCACTGCCTGGCTGGCCAGCCCCAGCCCTGCCCAACTCCCTCCCTCCTACCCTCCCTGTGGGGGCCTCAATCCTCCCTACCCCAACTTACTTGTGGGAGCTGCTCTGCAGGCTGTCTGTGGCCATGTGTAAATACATGCACATGGTACCTCTGCAAATGTTCCTTGTGGTACTATTTTATGGGCAAGAAAATATTTCCTATTTCGTTCACTTTTTCCAAGGTTTCAGCTTCTTTCTCCTCACTGAGCTACCCTTAGCTAAAACCTGAAACTTAGGAATCCTGTTGACCTCAATGCTTAATTTTTTTCTCAGTCTGACAGACCATGGAAATTCATAATCTACTGTCCCCATCCCATAGAGCAAAAGTGGCAATAAGAAAGATATCCCAGTTTATAGTTACCTTGGACCCAGATAAAGTCCTCATCACTTCTTCCATGGTGCACCAGAAAGCTGAAACAAAGGGAGCAGGCAACATTGTCAGTGCAATAAGCCAAAAAACAAAAAAGATCCTCATTCCCCCACTCCTGCTCAGCCTATCCTGGGGCAAAGGTGTCCATTCTCTGGGGGATAGTTAATCCTTTGAGTTAGGCAAGCAGTATTGTGGGCCTGATCCTGTGAGACACTGGTGACAATGAGATTAGAAGGTGGTTGACCTATGCACCCTTTGGCCTATTAAAGCCAGAAGTTTTTCCTTTGCAAAATAAAAGCAACCTTCATTTTGGAAAGATAGGGGAAAGGGGTTTCCCTGCCTACTGAGAGCAGATATACAGTTTTCGGCTAAACCTGTGCCAGGCAGACGCTACCACCTCCCATTGAATAATCCACATAACCAGTGCTCTGCACCCCAGAGAACAGTAGTTTGGGAGATGGAGTCATGCTGCGGGGCACAGCAGAGGGGATGCAGGGATACCAAGGACAGCAACCGGATGATCTCCAGAAGCTGCAGTATTTCAAAGGGGTGGGCCGGGGAGCAGTGGGCACATTGTGCAGGAGCCTTGGCATTCTTTCATTACCCCCGCACCCCAAGGAGAGGTCAGGTCAGGAGCCCTGGTACCTGTGACGCTCGGTCTGCAGGTTGGACCAGTTGCTGCTGCTGCTGCCCTGATGCTGAGATGCTACCCGGCTGAGCCAAGAGGCTCTTCTGGCCCGTAGACACGGGGGTCTCCGGGGTTTCCAGGGCAGACAGGAGAACATTCTCTCCTATGTGAGGTGTCCACACTCCAGAACCCCCAGGAAGGGCCTCGCCTGCAGGGAGGAGTGGGGTGGGTAGAGCACCGGGAGCTCCCTTAAGGACCTGCCCCACAATACTTACCTGGTAGGGGAAATACCATGACCACAATGGTGGCAGAGGAAGTACCCTGACCAAAGTAACGCAATTAAATTGGCACTGCATAGTGGAGGGTTGCACCCTTGTCTGCTTGCAAACAGAACTCCCTACAAGAGCCTCATAGTTAGCTACCCACTGGCCAGCTTCCAGCAGGAGGATCTCGGCTACACGCTGACTTTATGCAAATAGTAGACTCCTCCCTAGCATGATCCTGTGGCCAAGCCAAACCCCAAGCCGCCGGGCTCAGACCTGCATGTAGGATGCCGGCCAAAGGATTTGGAAGCATCTGAAGGCTCAGGCTGGGGTGGAGGATGTTTGCCAGTAGTCGGGCCATATTGATTCTTGAATGACTCACGGATGTAGAATTGATTTGGCTGATTTGACTTGGAACTCGAAACATTTTCCTTAAAAAAAGAAAAAGGAAAAAAAAAACAACTGCTGCTGCTGGGTGTCCTGCAACACAGACCCTCCAGCTGCAGCCACACCTGACAAGTGGGACAGGGCAAGGACAGGTGGAAATTTTGCTCAGCATGTCTGCCATTGCTCCTCAGTTCACTACTTCAGCCAGAGTCTCCCACCCCCGGTGCCTGCCCCTCATGCCAATAGCCCCTCCCTGCTTCTCTTTCAGTGCAGCTCAGAGAAAAGGGTTCAAGAGTCAAATCAAGGTAGCTTTGGTAACTGCAAGCCTAGGTAGTAGTTCAGAGCCTGGTAAGGCTGCAGGCTGGATTGGGAGGATGGGACCTGCTGGTGCCCCAGGACAGAAGGCAGAGGGAGAAAAGAGATGTGAGTGGGAAACTCTATGAAAAAAGACAGGATCATAGGGACAATTGAAGGGGCTGGAGAGATGAACTGGAAGGTACCTAAGAGTCTGAAGCTAGGATCGGAGAGGTGAGGTTTTGGGGGCTGAAGGGGGTGAGGCGCTGGAAGGTCTGATCATGGAAGAAGTCAGTGAGGCCCTGAACACTAACAGGGACAAATGGGGA